TTTTAGGTAGGCGTGGCTGACTCTTAACTTTTATAAAGAATATCTCTTTGGATTTGAGACTTTAGTCTTTGCAACTTTACAGATCTTCTTTATGCACCAAGAGCTTGTAACACTCAAAAGAGAAAGGAAAAATTGAAATTGCATCTTATGACCCCTTTAATAACAGACTACCACATAGGTAAGGTTTCGAGCATGCAGGCTCTTCATCAGACAGGCTGTTCATTAAAGGGGTCCTATTATGCTCTTTTACAAAGTCTTGATTTTGTTTTGGGGGTGTACTAGAACAGGCTTTCATACTAGGATGTTCGAAAAACACATTATTTTTCACATATTTTACATTATTACAACACCTCTCTCCCCAGTCTGGCATGAACGGATCGAATAGTTCCTGTATCAAATGAAGGCCCGCCTTTTGAAATACGAAATGTGCTGTGATTGGTTAGCTGGGCCAGTGTGTGTTGTGATTGGCACCACTCGGCGCCTGGTCAGGAAATGTCACGCCCCTTACCATAGCCGCCTGCATGCCAGCTTCAGTGTAAATATTGCTTCAAAATCAAATCAATTTGAGCGCGATTTAAACCCGGATGATTGTAACCACTCTAAGTTTGTCTGCCTTGCGAAAGCTAGCGTGTCTCCAATGTAGTGATAACACTCGTTGCCTTCTCTAGTGCAGCTCAACCAGGTCTCGTCCCATTCCTAGATTTTTATGATATCACAAATCCAGGAAAATATGCGTTGTAGTCCAAACGAGTCGTTCGTTGTAGTTTTTGAAAAGTTTGAGCTTTGTAACTTTGCAGATCTTTTTTATGCTCAAACAGCAACATTACAGACTAACTAAAGCTGAAAAAGTGAAAAAGCATAATAGGACCCCTTTAAAGTGAATGAAGTTCGATTCTCGAAAGAATGATTCGTATGAGTCGGTTCATTTTAGTGAATCAAAAACACAGCACCGGATGTAGAATGGATCGGTTTTCGAAAGAATGATTCTCATGAGCCGGTTCATTTTGGTGAATCAAAAACGAAAATGAATAAATAAAATGTTTTACTTTATTCGTTCGAGTATAGGTAGACCTTTAGGAGCAGATATTCTACAGAATTTATGAAAAAAAAAAGAAGAAGACATATAATCTGTGCTAAACACATTTAAAAAAAAACAAAAAAACAATTTGTATTAGCCTACGTTTATTTTCAATCACTGGCGACAGACTGTTAACGGTAATGTTTCTCCCTTTAAACAATCAAAGGATATTATTTAGAACCAGAATCGATTCCCATCGCTACCACAATTACTAAGTACGTAATATTATTTCCCCTCTTCTGTTTGAGACTAAAATCATGATTCATGATGTAGGAGTATGTTATGAGTGATGAAAGAGTGATGCTCTTTCTTCTCTCGTCGATGTTACCTGGTGGGCGAGAGCCAGTGACGTCACGTCCCCGTTACGAGCTGAGCTCCATCTCCTCCGCGCTGCATTCGGAGCAGCTCGTGCAATCAAGAGCTTTAAAACGCATCGAAACCACAAGACCCGACATCAATACCATCATCACCATCGAATTTAATAGGAAAGCTGAAGATGCTTCAGTCCCTTGCCGGTAATTCGTGCGTGCGCTTGATACAGAGCAACAAATCGGCATGGTATTTTTTATTCCTCGTGCTCGGCTATATTCTGTATCTCATATTCGGAGCGGTGGTTTTCTCCTCGGTGGAGCTGCCGTATGAAGACCTCTTGCGCCAGCAGCTCAGAGGGATCAAACGACAGTTCCTCCAGGAGCACAAATGTCTGTCCGAGGAAAGGCTGGAGAGGTTTCTGTCCAGAGCGCTGGAGGCCAGCAACTATGGGGTGTCTATTCTCAACAACGCGTCGGCCAGCTGGAACTGGGACTTCACCTCGTCTTTGTTTTTCGCTAGCACTGTCTTATCAACCACAGGTGAGTCATTGAACAATGCAGATATGTCATAAACTTATACAACATGACATTTGATGGCTAACGTGGCATCAGTGAGACTCTGTGGATAGTGCACCATTTGATGGGACTAGATATTTGCAGTGACCCATATTTTTTAATGTTTCAGCAAGGCATCAGTAATAACAACAAACAATACATCTCATATGACTTTAAAAAAAAATGTTTAATGCACCACTGCTTATAATAGAGAAGTTCTCCTCCTTTTGTTCTTGTTTTTCCTCATTTTCTTTGTTCTCTTTGGAAAGCTTTCTCGTCTGTCATTTAACACCTGCCTTAACACAGCAATGTTACCCTAGACAGGTATCCAATTCACAGACAGGCGTGAAACTTTATATATAACTTTATAGAAGATCTGTACAATTCAGTCTGTGAACTATATGCAGATATCGGCCTGTATGTTCACATACAGGAGGAAGCACAGACATCAAGATCACAACTTTCGGTTTCATTTCTATTAAAGTATACCAGTATTTCCCAGACATAAGAAAACTTCATATGAAATCACCTCCTTGTCTTTCAAGATGAAACGTTCTATTCACAAGCCCCAGCATGTACCACTACATCCAAACCAGCATTACATGAAAGACAGCTTCTTTAACTCCGTAAAGCCTGACATCTGAAATGAGTTTTTTTTAATGAAATAAAATCTTTTTTTTTTTTTTTTAAATGGAACAATTAATTAAACCTTTGGACAAAATCTAAATAAAAAAGCATATATTTTTGTATAATTTTTGATACATCATGTTTTTATGGCCCGTATGATTTAATGAGATTACGTAGTTCATACTTGAGGAAAAAAGAAACGCCTACATTTTATTCGGAGACCCAAACCAATGATGAAATTCTGATAATGTAATGTAACTTAAAATGATTGCTTATAATGCAATGCAATTCAATGATGATTGAGAGATAAATGATAAATCAACATTACGATTTAAAAAAAAGTTCTATGGATAATCAAGTAAGCCTAAGTTGCTCCAATCCTGTAAATATTCATTTTGAAATATAAGTTACTCTTAAGCTTATTTTATGAAAAATCATTAAAGATTTCGCAGCAAAAAAGACCGCAGCCTAAAGGTGGACATTTTTACAATTACACAAAAAGGACTTTTACTTCCTGAATGTGTGTGAACTGTCAATCAGATGACAGATGACATGTAGCAGATTGTGAACAACAGTTTTTTTTAGCAGAGTTTTGATCATGTTGGTAATTTATAGGCCTTAGAAATGTATATAAAAAAAAAAGAAAGAAAGATTTATCTGCCTTTTTTAGGGTTAATTACAGTTGGTTCACACTGTTCTGGAAAACATCACCAGGTTAACAAATGGATCCAATAAAGCCCAGTTACCACTGACATTTAGTGTTTGTTTGCATTTTTTGGGGAAGTGTGATCCAGCCTATATGAGTTAAAGTGCTGTCATGATTTAGCAGGGAAGAAGGATTTACATTCTGTCTTATCATTTACACAGACATGCAATATCTAGTTCCCCTTTGTATTTATGCATGTTATGCAAAAGATATTTTCAAATCTTTTTTTTTTAATCTACAAAAGGAACTTTGAACAAGACAGGTTGATAGAGAGCGGAATGAAGCCTTAGCACTGACCACAGATTTTTGGCACAGGTTGGCTTCACATCACAGGCATCATGTTCTTCATTTTAGTGAAAGTGAAGGAATATCAAGAGAGAACTACTTGGGCTGTACTTTTAGACAATGAAAATAATTGTCTCCATGTACAATGTAAATATGTGTGTCACATAAATGGAAGAGTTAGATTCTGCAGGTTTGGTTAATTTGGTTCTCTTACAACTACAAATTTTGATTGTAGATTGTGTATAGATTGTTATAGCAGTATTGTTATACTTTGCACATTAAAATGTGACAAAAACTGCATTATTTATTTATTTATTTTTTATTCTGGTGTTCTGAATTTTTGCTAGGGTGTTTTGGATGATAACTAGGTAGTTACTTACTTGACCAAGTCAAAAGAGTCCACCAAAATCTCTATGATAATCTGGTCTCTAGAATCTCCTGAAAAAGCTGGTTTTGCTGGTCTTAAGTGGCACATTTCAGCTGATCGCACTGGGATACAAGCTGGCTATACAACTAGACCAGCGGACTACAGTTTAAAAGTTTGTGGTTGGTAAAAATGTTTCACGATTTTTCAAAGAAGTCTCTTATGCTCACCAAAGCTACTTTTATTTGATCAAAACTACAATAAAAACTGCAATATTGTGAAATATTATTACTATTTAAAATAACAGTTTTCTATTTTAATATATTTTAAAATTTAATTTATTCTTATGATGACAAAGCTGAATTTTCGACAGCCATTACTCCAGTCTTCAGTGTCACAATATAATATAGTGATCTGTTGCTCAATATACATGTCTCATTATTTTCAGTGTTGTGTTTGTGCTGCCTAATATTTTTTTGTGAAAACCATTTTACTTTTTTTCCCTTGATTCTTTGATAAATAGAAAGTTCAAAAAGAACAGCATTGAAATAGGAATATTTTGTAACATTATTAATGTCTTTACTGTCACTTTGATCAATTTAATGTGTTCTTACTGAATAAAAGTGCATTTCTTTATTGACCCAAACTTTTAAATGGTAATGTAGCTGTTAATACAAACAGACGTGTAATTATCACTAGAAAGAGCTTTTCTTTGGCCATTTCCTGTTAAAAGTGGGTGGCATATTTGTTCTAACATTTTATTAAACAGCTTTTCTCCTTAATGCAAATCCATCTAGCAAGCTTGTATCAGAGACCCGAGGCTTTTAGAGAGACCCTGCAAACTAACCTGATTGTTCATGTCCATAATGTGAGATCGTCCATTAGATGTGAGCTCTTGGGAGGCATCAGACTGCTGAGGGCAGAAATTAGAGCAATATAATCTGTTTATTTCAAGGATACACCAACAAAAATTTAATTACAGAGCTGGACTGAATGATTAATTCATTGATAATCCAGGATGGGACTTAATCGGTTTGTTAATCGGTGCCTGGCAATGGCTGTGGGACAGTATGGTTTTGTTTTCAGTGAGGAGAATACAGTGTGCTCGTCCATGTATAAGCAAGTCTCATAAGAGGAACGATTTCATGAAGTAAATATGTTTAATGTGTAGTTTTCCACTCTTACAATTCACAGGATATGGTCACACCGCTCCTCTCTCTGATGGTGGGAAGGCCTTCTGTATCATTTACTCTGTGATTGGCATCCCCTTCACCCTCCTCTTCCTCACGGCGGTGGTGCAAAGGATCATGGTCTATAGCACATGGCAGCCCATTGTGTACATTCATACACGCTGGGGTCTGTCTAAACCCCTGGTGGCCCTCGTTCATGCAACTCTTCTGGCCGTCGTAGCTGTGTCCTGTTTCTTCCTCATCCCTGCCGCCATCTTCTCTGCCCTAGAAGAGAACTGGAACTTTCTGGAGTCCTTCTACTTCTGCTTTATCTCACTCTCCACTATCGGTCTGGGTGACTATGTGCCTGGTGAGGCCTTTAACCAGAGGTTTCGTGAGCTCTACAAACTGGGCATCACTGGTAGGTGTGGTTTCAGTATGCTTTGTTTTGGTGTGCATTGAATCTATAAAAAAATGTAAGGACTTACATAGGAAGAGTTCATTTGCAAAAACCGATAACTTATTATAATTGTTTATATTTTTTCAGAAATCACGTTTTGTTATTGCGCATTCCAAGTAATATCAATCAAACTGCAGTTGGGTTGATTAAAGGGTTAGTTCACCCAAAAATGAAAATTCTGTCATTAATTACTAACCCTCATGTCGTTTCAAACCCGTAAGTGTGTTCCGAAGATGAACGAAGGTCTTACGGGTTTGAAACGACATGAGGGCGAGTAATTAAAGACATAATTTTAATTTTTGGGTGAACTAACCCTTTAAGTAATAATAACTTAAACAAACACAGGTAATTTACAAAATTAAAGTTCATTGAAAGTATGTTTTTTTTTTTTACATATTAAAAGTTTGTTTTATAGCACA